TGGAGATTTGAAATAATAATCTTGCTATTTCTGGTTCAGGAAATAACCACCAGTCCTGTTTGTTTGTGGAATGAGACACAGAACGAGAGAGAATCTTGACACTCATGTAAGTGGATAGCTAGCACAAGAAAATGCCACTGGGTCCTTGGACTCGCGGTGACTCTCGTTATCTCTGCCACTAAAGGTTTGTGTTTGCTTGGGGGTAATGAATAACTGCTCGACTCCAGCTTGTTACAAGAAAGCAGCATGTGCACTCTGCGTGCCCTCTCTGAGAGAAGAATCAAACAGTTTTATCAGCATCACAATCAGCTGTAAAGAAAGCAAAATTTTAAAAAGTGAACGTGGCCTCTCCTCGTGTTCATCTCGTGGTCAGTAATGAATCCTGAGAAACAGCCACGATTTTACCAGCTCATTTATATGGAAATGAATAATCCCTGCAGGATCAGCCCCACCTCCCAGGCCCCCACTTCCGCCACTCTGACTCTGTTACCAGTGGTCATACAGATAGGGGTGACTTCTTAATTGGAAATTGATTAAAAACATCTTTTTGTGACTTCACTTTGCCTTTAGACTCTGCTCCTGTGCACTTTTATCAAATGTGCCCAGCAGGTATTAATTGAGCTAAAGTAACTCCACAGATGGGTGGGTGGCAGCGGTGACGGGGGCACCGAGGACTGTCGGTGGGTGCTGGACAGCAATTATCAAAATATGAACGTGCATCCTGAGGTTCTGATTTTCAGGGTGTGTTTGCAGCGTCTGTTAAACAGGAAGCCGCGTACGACTCATGTTCCTGCACCAAACGGGCTCGCTCCACGAATGAGGTTCATAAATTTGCAGTGTATGAAATTTGCATGTAGCCTTCGCAGTGATGCGCTGCTGCCAGGACTCAGGTCTGCTGCATCTCTGATCACGCGCAGAATACAAATGCACTTCCTGGAACAAGGTGAGGAGCTAAGCCGGCAGGATTTTCAGTGTTTCGGCTGTAAGTGCTGCTAGTTTGTAAATCATGATCCCGAGCAGTGAGCCAGTCTTTAACAGCTCCTGAGACGTGACAGCAGGATTAACAGGACAAACGTGTCCGGTTCAGTCAACACTCAGAAAGGATTCTTTACCCTCAATAAACTAATGTGAGTGAAATGTAACAGAAATCATTAATTATTTGACCGGATTCAATCAAATGCAACATTTTACACTTATGTAACCATGTAATTAAATGATAAAGTCGCATTGAGGACAGATTTATTAGTGAATATGAAGCAGTCCTGCTCTGGTGGAGTGTGGTTCATCCTGTTTGGCACTGAAATGTTTCTGAACGAACATTTGATGCTGAACTCGTGTCTCAATCCAGCTCCTCAAATTAAATATCGTTGTAATTTCCATTTAATTTAATGCTAATTTTTTACTACACCATAGCTGGAGGGTTTGTGCATTTTACACGAATTACTTTGTTTTTACATGTGTTATGAAAGACACCATCATTTTGCTTCCACACTATATGAGGCTTTTTGACCTTAGCACCACCCAGCAACATTAAAATGCTACATACAGGTTAAGACGTGAATAATTTAAAAGCCCAATCTTTGATCCAAATGTAAACCAAAGGTCATCCCTGCCTACCATCAAAAATTTAAAACAGAGAAGTGGAACATGCGCTCACTGCTGAAGTGACTCTGAGGCGATGAAGCTCCACAGCCCTCGGCAACAGCTCAGGTGTTTCTGTATTACGATGCTCTCGTTTCTCCTCGTAGAAGTAAAGTTCCCGATCGCAGCAGGACAACAACGCCCCGTCTCTTAACCCGAAGCTGCTGGGACGGCTGCAGCGCTTCCAGTTAATCCTGTGCATATTTTATGATATTAATGCTACATCCCATCCATTCATTTATTTATTTCAACATTTACGGTGCTGATGGATCCTTGGATCGACTTTTAGTGACATTGCTGTTCAAAACGAGTGTGCACCGATCGTCTGTGAGAGGAAGCTGATGGAGCAGAGGGGAAGTACTCCTGTGATGCAGAGGTCAGACATTCACACTTGCTGCTTTTCCTCAGACAGTCACGGCAGCGAAGCTTCTGCAGGATTCTGACACGAGTCTTTACACAGTAGCATCCTGCTCATCTCATTTCATGAAGACAGAGCTGTATGTGAGGCACTTTGTAACTGATAAATAATAATTCATCCAGCTCGGTTTTTATACCACCATCATCATATCAGCAGTCTTCAGCAAATGTTCTCTAAATGCTAAATATTTTTTCCTCTGTTTCTAATCTTCAGTGAAGGATGATAATTATCTCTGGCCCTAAATTAGCCAGCAGCCTAATTACCATGTGCCATCCAAAACAAAGCTGCCCGTGGATGCACATTTGCAAACAGTGTTGTCTCTGAATCTGAGACAACGTCACTTTCTGTATTTGTATGTATTGGCTGTCAGTCGAGGTGCAGTAAACAGGACACAGACACTCTGCTGCCTCCATCTCTTTGTATTTGCCTCACACGCCACATTAAAGGGGAACGATGGCAGCGCTTTGAGGGCAGCTTACAGCAGCGTTACGTGGACAGACGGAGGACACGTCATGAAAAGAGCCCAAAGGCAGCGTCCTCGTGTATCGAGGAACACGTGAGTTACACGGACTGCTGTTTTTGAGCCCCCGCGACCAGCAAAGATGCCAAATATCTATGAACCATTTGATTTACACCAGCCTCTTTAAATGAGCTTGACCTTTGACCCTTTGATATTAATGAGTTAGTTATTCGAGTATTTGGGGTGTTTGAGCCTGAGTTACAGTCAGCAGTGGTTTTAATGAGCTACACAGAGCTTTGCTGCTCTGGTATAAAATGACCCTCAGCTCACAGTGTTTGACCTCAGGAAGCAGTTTTCTCGTGACGTTTAGAACCTCGCTCCCATGTTCACTTTGTAAGCGATGAGGACTATTAGACGAAGAAAAATGACAGGAGATGCTTTAAAAAGGTATTTTGTGATCGACAGGTCGCTGCCGTACGAGGGCGCTGTTCCTTGGTTTCAGGTCCACTGGTTTCAAACAGCAAACTGGCAACAGTCAAAGCTCCTAACCAGTGAGTGACCATCTTCTGTATACAGTCTGTGGTTCCAGGAAGACTTTTTTGATAATAAGCTGGGAAAATGCAAGCATGAGTCAGGCTAGCATGGTGATGGAGCAGGCCTGTTAGCGTGCATTTGGAAGATCGACTAGAACTTCTGAGGAGGCATTCCAGTTTACCCAGTATGTCATTGTTCTGGAACCACACTGCAGTCATTGCAGTTTTATGCTCCACGCTGACAGGATGTGTTTGTTATCACACTTATTCTTTGGCTTTTTCACAGATCTGTTCGGCGGACGCTGAAATGACCCCAGCTCAGTGCTGAGTAAAGGTGCTTAAGAGCTGAATAATTGGGTTTGAAAATGAGCCTCCGTGGAGCTCGTGTGCACTTCACGTGTGAAAGCAATTCAGTTTGCTGTTTGAGCAGAAAGATTAAAGTCGCTTCCAATTATGCCACATCTTTGCCATTTAGCTTCTACGGCCTCTCACGCGCCAACCTGTGTCACAACATAACAGTTTATATATTTTCAACGTAAACGAATAAAAGATTCACGTACAGAGGAATCTCGAGGCCATTGCAGCTCGTGGGCTGTGTTGTAACATCTGAGCGACACAGCTCACAAAGCGCTGCTTTTTGCAGAACAGAGGCGAGCGTGTGCGCGTGCTGACTCAATAACATCAAGTGTCGCCCGGGGCAGCGGCTGCTGAGGGAAGTGCTTACGCAACATCAGCGTTCAACACGGACGGTAGGTAAGTAAGAACGAAGATTTGTTGTCATTGTTAATAGTTAACATGCCCCTCCCCCCACTGTACTACATCGTGCTTAATATTGTATGAAATGATGAGAAGTTGCTTTCCTTTGATTCTTTGATGTTTTGGTAGCTAAATAACTGGCAGATGTCCCTGTTAGCAGCTGGGTGAGGCAGTCAGTGACATCAGAGCTCTGACCTGTTGGACTAATTAAAGTAAGAATTTGGAAAGAAACCTGACATGATGAGGGAGCATCTCCTGGACCAGTCTGAACTCTCAGTGATGCTCTGGTTACTGAAACATGCAAAATCACATTCACACCATTAAAAAGAACAATCTGGAACCAGAGATATTAAAGGACTTTTTACTGCACTTCTCCATCAGCATCATGACATCGTCAGTCTGTGCTTCATGTTTCAGTAACATTTATGGAACTGAAATCATGGAATAATTTGCAGATTAGAGAGGAGCCTTCCACTTTTAAATCACGTCATAAAACCCACTTCATTCTTTGGCTTTTAACCACAGGGACACTTAGTTTCTCTTGTAATTAAATTAGTGATTTAATTAATTATTTTACTTTTTCTTTTATTTGGATTTTATTTACATATTATGTAATTTTATTATATAGTTCCAATGTACAGCACTTTGTGTCAGCTGTGGATGCTTTATAAATAAAGGTGATGATGATTTTCATAAAACTAAATATTTTAACACATGTATGCGCATATGTAATGTAGTGTACACATTAATGTGGTGGAAACAAAGCGGTCGGTGGTTTAATAACATCAAGCACGTTACAGGAGACATTTCTATACAGGACATAAACCAGCATGAACACACAGGGAAAGATGAAAATAAATAATAATAAATGTTCCACCTCAGCTCTCCAACATTTTTAAGCAGCAGCTTTAAAAGCCTCACTGACATCCAGCAGCTGTGACCTGAATGTTGAGGTCATTTACACCTTAAAGGTTAAAATAAATCTTGATTTTTAAACATTAATAGTTCAAACCTGCTCCTGTTGAGACACCGGAGTGACTGACGGTTTAACCGGATCTGAGGCTGCCCTGCTGGGATTCGTGAACTGCTCCTTTATCGTTCTGCTCCTCGCTGCTTCAGAGCCGCGCAACCAATCACTGACGAGAAGGCGGGGAGAGAGAGGGGAGAGAGAGCGGTGGGTGGGTGGGGGCGGGGCTGCTGGTGGTGGTGGTGTTTCAGCACCGCGGACAGCTCCTGCCTCTGGTCTCTGGGCTGCAGGGAGAAACAGCTGGACGAGACTACACACTGCTTCACTTCGATCCACAGACCGCGCCGAGCCCACCCCACGCGATCCACGCGAGAACAGGCTGTCCGTGTTTCTCCTCCTTCTCCTCCGTGCTGACTGCTGTGTTCTGTGGCCTCGCTGAGGACTCCAGCCTCGGTTAACTGCAGCGCCTCTGCGCCTTCCGTCCGCTGGCTCCTCTTCCTGTTGTTGGCGGCCACGGTGTTGTGGGGTTTTCGGGGAGGGCGGGGCGGAGGAGCAAAGTTCACTTCTTCTTTGCTCTGATTATTTTTGGTGTCGTGCACCTGCGTGTGACATGTGCGTGTGCACGCCGCCGCTCGCTGCCCGGGTTTGTCTGCAGGCTCGGGAGCGCATGTTCCTCCGGGATGCAGAAGTTGTGTAGTTCCTCTCGCGCTCTGCTGTGAGACAGGTGAGCTGCATCTGCAACGTTGGCTGGGATCCTCGCAGCAGAGTGCCACGGACTCGCTCGTTTCACGTGGACAAACGTCAGAGAGCACGATGAGGAGCCTCTGTGACTTTTTAAATTGCACCTAAGAGAAAGAGAGAGACGGGGGTGGGGTGGGGGTCCCTGTTAGTGCCCCGGCACTGCTGCAGGAACACAGCTTTGTTTCTTTAGCTGCTTAAACCGCTGGGATCGCGCGTGACAGTGGACACTGTGCCGCTCACCTCTTTACCCCTAACCTGAAAACAGAGCCCGACACGCGGGGAACGAAATGAAGAAGTTCCGGAAGGTGCTGGACGGCCTGACCACCTCCTCCCCGGGAGCCACTGTGGGCTCTCCGTCGTGCGGCAGCGCGGCCGGGACTCCCACGGCGGCTCCAACTCCGAAGGAGATCGACGTCCAGGAGACGCTGGTGTCGGAAAACTTCCAGCTGTGTAAGGTGGGTTGATGGAGGCGCTTATTTAGGCTACACCCGAGTGAACACGTGACCTGCGAGGTGCTACAGGCGGGCAGGTGCAGGCGGCTCTGGGCTTTGGGGTGCGGGTGAAAGTTGAATCTGCTGCTGGCTGTCAGAGGTTCAGCACCGCGGACAGCTCCTGCTCTCAGCGGCCTCCGAGTCTATCCGAGAACCGTTCGTGTGTTTGTGTGTGCGCGTGCTTGTTCTCGTGTGTGCAGCACTGTGTCGGGCCGCAGTAAGTTGTGCACATGTGCAGCAGGGAGCTGAGAGAAAGTGGGTGAGCAGCAGCGTCCACGCTGCGTGGAGTGGGAGCGATGACATAACCGGTGAGCCTCGCTCTCATAAAGGAGTTCGAGCCAGAGGAAGGAGGCTGCAGTGCTGCTCAGTGAGGAGGGGGAGAATGAGGGAGGGGTGCTGAATGGGGGTATTTATAGCTTCCTCTGCCGCCCGTCGCAGCTCTGGTCCTGGATCCATTCTGCTGATGCAGTGAGGACTCTCGGGTTTACAGGGACGGCTCTGAATGGCTGTGAATAATTCATTGAGAATCTGAGAGAAAAGGCTTGTTTAGAGGAGTGTGTTATTATTAGGCAGAGTAACACTGCTGTGTGTGTGTTGGGCAGGTGGGGGGGGGGGGGTCTTGATTCAGGTTGGAAGGATGCGGCAGAGCAGCCTATAGCAGGCAGCAGAGAATGCTGGAAAAGAGCAGCAGGATGGCCGGGCCGTGCAGGAAGCTGCTCCTCCCCTGTGAGCGGCTGTGATGCTTCTATTGACTGAACTTCTCAGGAGGAAGCACTGAATGTACAAACATGCCTTCAAGCACACGTTTGTCCTGAGTTTGTGTCAGAGGAGGCTGCATGTCATGGTTAGTGTGCTGCAGACAGGGCTCGGGTGTGATTAATTACAACATGCACCGATGACAGAGCTTTATGTTGTATGAAGGCTGGACTTTGATGGGTGGAAGAATGAGTTTTCAAAGCCTGTCATCCTGCGCCAGATGTGCACATTAGGAGTGGGAGAACCACGAATGACTGTTAGCAAACCTGTGTACGCTGAACACAGCAGAAGCTGCTTGTTCGCTTTAGCTTCAGCATCAAATTCACAGATTCTGAGGGATAAACAAGGAAAACGAACACGTTTCATCTGTCGTATTATCACTTCCTGAATTCAATGACTCGTCCTCATCAGGGCAAACAAATCGTCTTCTCCTGGCAGGAACCAAATTTGTTTTTGATTAGTTAATGAACGTCACTGGGGGTCGACCACAAGCTGAGAGCTGATGGTGGTCCTGATGAGGTTACACCCACCAATGTTTCAGAGACGCTGCTGCTGTGAGACTCAGATCACTTCACTGCAAATGCAGTAATTTCACTCAGCAATAAAACTGGTAACACACACATGTTCATTATCACTTATTGAACTGTAGACATCAGAGAGAGAGCTGACAGGAAAAGCCTGGTACTGGGTCCATGTCTGTGGGTCTGCTGGAGTGATGGAACTCCATTCTTCCAGTAAATATTCCCTCTTCTGGTGATTTTATATTCATCCTGCTGATCTTCCAGAAGTTTTCAGTTTGGCTAAAAAACCTGCAAATCCCAGAGAAGAGCATTCATATCATTTCATGCTTATGGGGCTTCCTACCAGGACAGAGATGTTCCATGAAAGGGTCACGGTGACGACTCACAACACCTCACAGCCACGGTAGCAAGGTGCCGTCCAAACCATAGCAGGGCCACCTGTAGTGTGGAGCAAGGTTTGTGTTTTCCTTTTATTCGTCAATCTATGACAGTTACCTAAATTTTCATTCATTACTCTAAATGCTGTAGATAGGATCAACATTCTCTGACGTAATTCTGTGGGCTGCATGTGGGAGTGTTTGGCTAACTTCTCAAAGTTAGTCATGACTTCTGTCCTCGCTCTGCAGTGTGGGAAGAAGCAACAGTGCAGATTTTATTAGACAGCGTTTTGGTGTGTTTGTAGTTTGTACAGGAATGCACTCCAGACCAATTAGAGCGCTGCTGAAACAAGTCTTCAGTGAAATCTTACTCAGACTGAAGGAGAAAACGAGGAAAACGCGAGGCGCAGGTGGCTCTGAGGCTCGTCGAGTCCACAGATTGATTTTGGTTAAGAGCAAATTGAGTTCATTTTGTGTTCGAGGAGGAACGAGGAGACAGAGAGCGCGAGAGGGCAAGGCTCTGGGCAGATTCACAGGCTGAGCAACACCATAATAATGCATTCAGATATACATCATATCATTTAAAAACGTTTCCCACCTCACAACTGAAATCTCTTTACATCTCATTTGTATTGAGAATGCCGGGGTCGTGCTTAAAGCAGTTTTTTTCTCAGAGCACGCTGACAGAAGTCTGCTTGGACTCGACCAACATGGTCTACAAACTGGCTGTGAGATTTGTCAGAGCACAGAGAGCTCCGTTATTATGATAGGTACATAACGGCTTTCTTTCAAACTCATAATTAGAAGTTGCTGCACACAGCAAGAAGAAACCGAAACAACAGAATAGAAATATCAGCAACCCAAACACGGACCGGACAAAACGTTAAAATGGTCTTTTAGTACTTAACTAAATGCACAGGAGCAACACACGGCCTAAAAGAAGCTTTAAAAGTGGTTCATAAAGAGCAGGAAGTCAATGACAGGCTGACAGTGAGAGGTCATGAAGGAACGAGCCGATCGTCTGACAGCTGGGCTGCAAATAAGCAAACGATCGCTCGGAGCGAGGCTTTACCTACGTGTAAAAACCCTCGTCTGGAGTTCGGAGGACCGAGATGCTGCTGGTTAAAAACAGCGCTCAGCTCCAGCAGCTGATCCCCGCACTGCCTCGTGTGCACGTCACCAGCTGCTGGTGGGGAAATGAAGCAGTTTGCTGGACATGTTCCACAACAGAGCGTTTCAGCACCGTGCACACTGTATGGAATCACTGTGGCACGCCAGGTGCATCCCTTCATGCCTCATCTCACCTGTGTAATCCAGCACTCATCATCTCAGTCTGTTTCCAGGAATGTGGCCGTAATTTCACTCGTCCTGAAAAGTCTCAGGAGGTTAAAGAGGTGCAGCACATTGGAAAGAGATGGAGCGTAAAGCTTGTACTGTAATTGCCCTTTTGAAGACTCTCGAGGAAGCCAGGCCCTGAAAGGACAATTCAGCTTTGTCTACAGGTAAAATTAGCTGTAAAGACAGGAAGCAAAACAACATAATTGGAGCTGATAATTTTATTATGTTTGTGTCTGTTCACGAGTGGCCAAAAATCCGTTAAAACTGTGCCGTAAACACAGCACAGCCCACACTTAGTTTATTAAAAAATGCAGTAGACAGCTTGTATTTTTCAAAAATAGAAGCTCTTCACGCTGGAAAATCACTAACATGCAAATTTTTATTGCCAGCGTCTGTTTTAAAAGCATTCTGTGAAGGCTTTACCTAAAGTCACTTCATTTGCATCGCACGTGCTGCTTCTGTTTTACCCCATCACCTCTCCAAACTGCAGCACCGACTCTTGAATTTTAATCACTGAGAAGTGGTGGGTTTATCGTCATCAAGTCCAAGTTTCTGCCATGGAGAGCATGAGTCTAATCCTTTTAGTTCGATTTCTGAAGACTGTGATACGTGTGGGCTAATGCTAAAACAGAAAAACTCTGAGAGTCGAGCGCATGCTTGAATGGATTTGTGTGGATGCAGAGTTGGTCCTAGGCTGGACCGCGAACACGCGGCAGCATTTATGATGCAACATGTGCAAAATGAGCTGCTTCAGAACAGCCGTGTAGAGTGGTAGAAACATCTGCAGGAAAACCACCATAACTAACACACATTTAGAATCGATCACATTTAGGAAGCAACATGAAATAAAATTCACTCAAATGTTTTCATTTTTCCTTCCAGACTGAAGATATAATCACGCAGGAAAACACAGATCAAGTATTTTGTACCTTTGTTGGTCTTGGTTGGTTAATGGCTTCGTTTTTAATGTGCAGCCTGCTAGCAGGTGCACTGCCAGGACATCGTGACCCCATGTCATCCTCTTTAATCTGAACAGCAAACGTACGACAGGCTGTGCAATTTTATTTCAAATTTCCAAATGACATTTAAAACAGCCACAAAGGCTCCATTTCTCCTCCTGTGCAGTGGAGGGCCGGGTCCGAGGGTTTGCAGCTGAGCTCCATCAGCAGCTTGGTTTGAATATTGTCCAGATGTTCACGTCCCGCAGGGTCTGAAAGTGTCCTCTGACTTCTGCAGTTGTACCCGTGGCCGATCAAAATCTTTGTATTACCCTGTGAAATATCTCAACGTGCACTTGATGGGCTGTCTGTTCGTACTTCATGGTTAACGGGATGAGTCATGCTGGCTCTTCCTTCACTCTGTCAGCACCGTCATCAATCCTTTCAGAAGTCGTGGACCGTGACCTTCCCATGACCCCAGCCTCTGTATTTACAGATAACGATGGTATGCTAACGTGCAGGATTTAGTTTGCTGGCAGTGGGACTTTCCAGCTTCAGCTTCAGTGAGTTTTGTGCCAAAGCTTGTCTTTGTCTCGTTCGCACAGCTGGATGTTTCTACCTGCTAATTAAAGACGGGCCATTTTTACAGGGAAGTGTGTTTCAGAGCCTCGGCTTCACTTATCTGAACCTCAGTTGGAGAGTAAATGCTAAAATCCCAACAAACCATTAGCAAAATGGTTTTGATGTAAATCCTCGGGGAACCAGGGTCAGTACGAGTATTTCACAGAAGAAAAGCTTCAGAGGTCAGGCGTTTCCAGCGCTCCGTCTCCTTTCTTAGACAACATAATATGTGGGCTTGTAAAGATGACATCACTTCACTCCCTCACCAGCGACCCTGCGAGCTCTCCATGGGTGTGATGACTCAGTGGGTTGGCTTCCAGCTAGTCTCACATTACCATGTGTCGGCTGCCTGTCAGAAGCCACAGTGTGGGATCAATTAGGGAGGAGTTGATGTCAGGCAGAGACCAGATAGG